CACGATCACGCTGGCAGAGCACGCCTCGTCTGCCGTTGGCGTGGGAGCCTGTCCATGGAGTGCAGAGTCACAAGCAAGTGACACCCCGAATGCCGCTCTGAACCCCAAGGCGCTATTCGTGGTGTGAGGCTGGAGATGGCTCTGGTAGGCCTCCCAGAGGGGACACCTGAGCACACCTCCGCCAGTCCCCCACGTTCACTGTCCCTGCTGTAGGCCCTCCGGGGGAGCCTGAGGCCCACCCCAGTGAGGAAGCCCAGCCAGCCGGCTTCCTGGACAGGATCCAACAGTTGAGCCCCGAGGACTTGGCCATGGCAGACAGAGCAGAGTCAGAGGGCAGCGACGAGGCGGATGCCGGCAGGCCCCAGCTGATTGTCCTGGACCCGGACCACGTAAGAAGCAGCCTTCCGGGCAGATGCACGTGAGCTGGGACCCGCGTCTGCCCGGGACCCCCACAGCCCTCTGACTCCCAGACACGCTGGCCAGCGCCGAGCCCGGGCTTTGCAGAGCACGTTCTCTGTGGCCATGACCTGCTTCAGCCTCTCGGGGCAGTCGCCGGCCGCTCTCGGTGGCAGGGCTGTCCCAGCTTAGTGGGATGCTGAGCAGTGTCGCTGGCCTCCTCTCCCACCTCCAGCTGTGACCACCAAAAACGTCTGCAAACATCTCAGAACCCTGGGGTGGGAGTTGGGCAGAATCGCCCCACCAGGAGCCTCTGCCTCGGGTGACCAGGCTGCATTCCTCTTCCACCCACTGGCACACGGCAAAGGCCGTCGTGGTTTGACTAACCCGTCTGGAAGGCTGTGGGAGAACGCTGTGGCAGCATCTGGGCTGCTGTGCCTCAGCCCGTTCTGGCCTCTGTAAACCAGGGCGGCTGCCTTGTTCTCATCATTTCGCCCAAACATGCCTGCGGCTCTGCAGGGCCTGGGGCGAGACCGCAGATGCCTTTCATCTGTGGCTTCCAGGGTCAGACCCCAGGCAGAAGTGGGAGCAGCCAGCAGGGTGGGCACCCCTGCACCCTCCCCAGGCTCTGGCCCCGGGGTAAGGCCTGCAAGGCCAGGAGAGTGACGGGTAACTCTCCCTCGCGTTAGCCCCTGATGGCGAGGTTCCAGGCCGCCCTGAAGAGCTACCTCAGCCGCCAGATGGAGAAGACGAAGCGGGAGCTCCAGGAGCTGGTGCGTATGGCCCCCCGCCCGGCCCCCCGCCCTAGTGGGGCCCCCTGACCCCCGCCCTTCTCTTTGGCAGCACGTGGCCACCAAGCAAAGCCCCCCCCCCCCCGCCACTCCATGGCCGGCTGGGAGAGGCGGCAGCAGGAGGAGGAGCTGCAGCGCTTCCGCGCGCTCCACTCCAAGACCTGTGCAGCCGCCAGCGACGAGCGCCGCAAGTGTAAGGCCGCTCCCTGCACCACTGGGTCCCGCGTGTGCGTCCCCACGGGCGTCCCATGTGCACCTGACAGCCGTCCTATCCCCACATGCGATGTCCCTCCGGTCATCTTGTCCCCACATCTGTGTGACAGCCCCCATCCCTGCCCCCACATGCATGTGTCCCCTGGCCATCGCATCCCCACGCGCATATGACAGCCCCATCGCGTTCTCACACGCGTGCATCCTCCTGGGCCTGTGGACCCCGTGGGGCTTCCCCTGTGTCTGGGTGTCCTTGCCGTCATGTCCCCACGTACATGCTCCCTGTGTGGCTTCATGGGGCAGCAAGAAAAGCGAGCTCTGTGTGCGTCCTGGAGGGGCCTCCGCCCATCGCAGGGAGGGAAGCACACATGCTCGTGGGTGACGCAAATCAGGCCAGGTGGCCGCTGTGACCTGAGGACCAGGAGAGCCCGGAGGGGCCTGGGCGGCAGTCCCCATGGCGAGCCAGGCAGTGAGAGCCCAGTGGGCGTGGGCAAGGCTGTGGGCTGGGCCCACGGCGCTGGGCCAGGCAACCCAAGGCTTTGTGTGCACACGAGGAGAGTGGCCAGGGTGGACCAGACAAGACGGTCGGGCGATGGTACAGTGCACGGACCTTCGCCACCAAAGCAGTGCCCTGGGACAGAGGGAAGGAGTGGTGTCAGGGAACTGCGGCTTCCCAAGACAGGGACGACACTTCGTTCCCGTGCTCTCCGACGTGTCCAACTTTTCTGTATCAACCCTGTGTTACTTTATTTATGATTATGACATTATTAGTTTTAGTTTGTTATAGGACGTGCTCACTGGAGAGAGACAGAATGAGAGGGAAAGTGAGAAATCACCCCCAACTTCTTCATTCTCCCCCCGGTATTTTGGGCACATTCGCACGCACTCCTGAGGTGTTTTCCAAGCTGTCGGGTCTGGGACTCGAACAGTAAAGCTGGCCGTGTGAGACCCAGCCTTAACCTCCACGCCACCTGCTGGTGGTTATTTCCCATTTTAATGAGGGAATAGCAACAGAATCTGCAAGAAAACAGAATGCTCCTGCAGCTGCTTGGAAAGAGATACTCGGACGTGGGGCAGTCCTGGAGAGGTCTCTGGACTTCGCAGTTGGGCTAAGCGGGTGTTTGTGAGGATCCTCCCCCGGACTCCAGAGTAACAGGAAGCGCCAGTGAGAGAGGAGCTGGGCCAGCACCCTGAAGTAAGGAGCCCGCTCTCCGGACGGAGCGGCGCTTGGACCTGCCGAGAGGGGACACGGGGCCGGCCCCGCCCGCAGCCCTGCAGTGAGGTGGGAGCTGTGGGGTGAGCACACCCGGCATTGGGGTAGGTGCTCCCGAGGAGGCGGGACCCTGTGCTCTTGGGAGATGAGGGAGGGCCAGAACCCCGCGGCCGAGCCGGCTGCCCGGACAGCCGTGCTCCTCCTCGGCCTGACGCCTGGGTGGCCGTCCAGGCCTCACTTCGCGCTGCAGCCACATCACTGCTCCTTCAGGGGGACTTGGAGCTTGGTGCCCTGCGGGTGCCCACGGTCACCTGCCTCACCCAGGAGGAGGCAAAGCCACACACAGGCCCTGGACAGCAGCAAGGATGGGCTCGGCGGCTGGAGAGCACGCTGCTCCCGGCCTGGCCTGATCCAGGGACAGGTGAGAGTGTGAGCGGGCACCAGCTGGTGTCGGCCCGGGAGTGCGGAGGGCATGCTGGGCAGGCGAGCATGCAGGGCTCGGAGAACGGCCTGGAACTGAACAGTACGATGCCGCCCAGACAGAAAGGCGCTCGAGAGACAGGCTTGGCACGCTGCAGGCCGGGTTAAAGAGGTCTCCCAGGATTCGGGTAAACCTCCCACGCCAGGTGTTTCCAGAAGGAGACGGGACAGGGTGCCAGGTCCAGGGAACTCGATCTGTGAGACAGGGATTTTGGGGCGAGAGGCAGCAGCCCAGGGCCTGGGGAGCCTGTGAGTGCAGGAAGGACAGCTTCAGCTGTGAAGGTGCGTGGGGCTGCTCAGCCAGAGGGAAAGCCGACGCCAAGACGTGTGGGCAGCCTTTGAATTGCGAAATTGCGAAGGACCAGCAGATGGCATCATGATTATGCTGGACTCCCACATAGTTGACCACAGTTCAAGTCCTGGACCCGGCAGTTTAGAACTCACGTGGGGCACGTGTGCCTGTGTCCCCAAAATCCCGAGAGGAGAATGGAGAAGGGATGGCAGCATGGCCATCCCCCAGGGGTGGTTTCTTGATTTCTGTGGTTCTGTCTCTGGCGAGCACACGGGCTTATAGCCAAGGAGACGGCGAAGGCACTGCAGGCCTCCGGCAGGGTGACAGTGGCTGCGGACTGAGCTGCTTTTATTTACGATTATTTTTTAATTGCTATAGGGCACATCTGCTCAGCAGAGAGAGACAGGGGGAAGGGTACTTGCACACGCGGCCAGCCTATTTTGTCAAGCTGCCTTAACCACTAGGCCACAGGACCAGCCCTGGGTGTTCTTCGGTCAGGCCTCCACTGGCCGCCCTTTGGAGGAGCCCGGGGAGAGCCCCCATCAGGACTCAGTCCAGTCTAGGTTTCCAGTTTTTTCCTGGGAAGGGCTGCATAGCATCTGTTTCTTGTTTTTTTTTTTTTTTTTTTTTTAATTTTAACTTTCTTCTTTCCTTTTTCTTTTGTTTTGCGTTCCTTCGTGTTTTAAGTCTTCCAGAGAATTCTAACGTGCAGCCAGGGCTGGACATTGCAGATGGTATGTGTAAATAGCCACCCTTGTGGTGCTTACAGAGTTCTAAGGCAAAACGACAAACAAGGAGCCAGCAGGTGGCGTGGTGGTTAAGGTGCTGGACTCCCACACAGCTGACCGCGGTTCAAGTCCCAGGCCCAGAGACTTGAAAACTCACACCAGGCACATGTGTGTGCCCAAAATCCCTAGAGGAGAATGCAGGAGAAGGGACTGCCGCGTGGCCATCCCCCTGGGGCTGACTTCGCTGTCTCTCTCTCTGATGACATGTTCCCTATGACAAACGCTGTAAAAAAACTAATTGAAATAAAAGTGAACACTTAAAGAGAAAGGATAAAGAGGGGCCCAGGGTCGCAGCAGTTACAGGCTGTCGCACGTGACGACGGGGAGGTCTCCGTGGGAACACTGCCGGGGGAGCCAGGCCACGTGTGGTGTTGTCCGTGCTCCACGAACGAGACTGAAACACGCTCTTCGTGCAGCTGCAGAGGGCCGACGGCCCAAAGGGCGCGGAAGAAGGAATGGACAAAGACGAGAAGCCGAAGCCGCGGGTGGAAAAGTGAAAACTGACTTGATAAATAAAACTGCCGGTTTCCTAGGTGACCTCGTAGACGCCCGGCATGTGAACAGACGGCGCCAAGGAGGACGCACGAGAAGCCACTCGGAGGGACAATTCGGAGGGTGGTTATTTCGAGAACGTGGCTGTGCTGATTTCATCGTTGAAGAAATCGAACCTCTGGCCACTAATCTCACATCCCTGCAAGTACCAGAATTTGAGATGTTTGTTCCTTCAAAAACAGACACTTGCATGTTACTCGACCCTCCAGGAGGTAGAGACTTAGGGGACCCTCCCTGGCTTGCAACGCCACAGCAGACAGCCAACACTGACAGCGTGCGACCCGGGGATGGTACAGCAGGCCACGCGGGGTGAGCATCCCACGTAAAACACCTGCAGACAGGCCTGGCGGTGCTGCAACAGCAACACGTGACGTTTGTCAGGGCAGTCCCACATGGGGAGGTGCCCAGTTCAAACCCGGGGGCCTCTCTGAGTCCAGCAGGCATGAGCCTGTCCCATGATGCAGGGCCAGCTGAGCCTGGCATGGACGCAGGGTGGAAATCCTGCTGGGGGTGCGTGCTCTCTCTCTCTCTCTCTCTCTTGCTCATGGAAGAAATAAAAACAAAACAGAACTTGCAAAAACATACATTGTAGCAAATTAAGTTCAGCAATTTTTTTTTTTAGAGAGATTTTTGCTATAGGGCATGGTGCTCGCTGGAGAGACAGAGAGACAGAAAGTGAGAAATCACCACTACCAGGGGGATGGCCACACTGTGATCCCTTCTCCATCCTCCTCTTCTCAGGATTTTGGGTATGCAGGCACACAAGCCTGGCATGAGTTTTAAGCTGCTAGGTCTGGGACTTGAGCTGAGGTTGATTACATGGGAGTACAGCAATGTAACCATTATGTCATCCACTAATCCCCGATTTTATTTTTAATTGATAGTGAAGAAGTAGGGACACCATTTCTGTCCTGACTCCCAAAGACAGTTATGCTAGGCTCCCTTCTCCATCCTCCTCTTCCACTACCGGGGGGATGGCCATGCCACAGTCCCTTCTCCATCCTCCTCTTCCACTCCCGGGGGGATGGCCACACTGCAATCCCTTCTCCATCTCCTCTTCCACCAGCGGGGGGATGGCCACACTGCAATCCCTTCTCCATCCTCCTCTTCCACTACTGGGGGGATGGCCACACTGCAGTCCCTTCTCCATCTCCTCTTGGGATTCTGGGCATGCGTGTGTGCTCAGTGTGATTTTCAGAACGCCAGGTCTGGGACTCCGTGCGTATGTGCCCAGAATCCCATAAGGAGAACAGAGGAGGGTTGCAGCATTTCTCACATCAGGCCGTGAGTTCTCGCTTTCCCTCTCTCCAGTGAGCACATGCGCCTTATGGCGAAAATCTTTCTTCTTTTTACTTCAGAATTTAACTATTGCAAACCACATAAAGGTACGGGTTGCATTTTTAAATTGTTAAGAATGTTTTTAACCATTTGGCCATCAGAAAAATAAATACTTAGATCCCTATTTCACACTATACCCGAAACAAGTTCCAGGTACGGTAAGGATCTCTGGAGACCGCAGAAGCATGAGGAGATGGGAGGCGGGATTTTTCCTCACCTGGGGGGAAGGCTCGCGAAGCAAGACATGAGGTACAAGACCAGGAGGAGTTGGGCAGGTTCGATCTCATGAAGGAGCACGACCGTCGAGAAGCGTGGTGAAGTAAAAAGCAAACGCAGACTGGCAAAAAACTAACATTCAGGACAACATCCATGTTTTCTGTATCTGTTTTCTGTTGCCACATACAAACTGCCCAGACTCTGGGGTCTCCAACAGCCCCCATTTGTGTATTAGCTCAAGCCCTGCAGGTGAGGAGTCTGCCTGGCCTGTCTAGGTTCCCTGACATCAGGTGTGGGCTGGCCGAGTTCTCGGACGTGCTGGGGAAAGCATGCTTCTAGCGCTCTCATGCTGTCGGCAGAATCGCTCCCTGGTCTGCCTCGGTCCCTGGGTCCCTGCTTCCTCCTGGTTACCAGCAGGGGCTGCTCTCAGCTCCCCCAGGACACCCATACTCCGGGGCAGGTGGCCCCCTTCATCTTTAAGCCGGACATGGAAAATTTCTCCCTCCTCCACTGCTCTGGACCTGCCCTCCTGCTGCCGACTGGAGAAGGTGCTGCGTGGAAAGAGCTCCCTGCTAGGTCAGGCCCACCTGGCCGGTCCACTCTGCCACTGTGGGGTAGCTCGGGGACAGAGGGCACGAGAGCTGGCTTTACATTCTGCCGCCAAGTTATCACATGAAGAGCTGTAGGAGCCGGCCAGTAAAGGCTGGTGCTCCAGTAGAGTGCCCAGGGTACTGGCCAGCAATTCAGGGAGAGAGAGCAGCGGGTCCTCAAACTGTGGAAAAGGCTTACCTTCACACGGTTAAAGAAACGATGATTCAGAACCGGAAACAGGAAGGAAGAAACGGGGTTGGAGTGGGCGCCCTCAGGGCAGTGTGGACACACAGTCTCGCTCGCCAAGGTGGCAGGAGGAGTCAGTCTGCACGGGCCAGACAGCTTCGACCACGGAAACCCACTGTCTCCTGACCCTGCCGCAGGTCCGGCTCCTCGCCGGCCTGCAGACAGCGTCCGCTCCTGCATCTTCACATGGGACTCCATCTCTGCCATGGGGACACTTGCGGGCTGAATCGGGACCTGCCCGGCAGCGTCTCGCCTGACTCACCTCCACAGGCTCACCAGCAGTCGCACTGCAGGGTGCATGGGCTGCACTGCGAGCCCAGCTCCCTCCGGGACGGCGGTCACCACGGTGTCCTCAGGGCCACTGGCGGGAGCTTCTCCCAAACACTGTGCGCACACTTGTGTACAACCTCTCCACGTGAAGGAACTGACTCAAAAGATCATCGTTCAAATGTGCAAAGCCGCGTCGGGGCAGTGCTGGAGTGGACCACAGAGCAGAGAGCCAGAAGAGAACAAGAGAGGAGGAGGCCGGGAGGCCCGAGCCAGCGGCAGGTGGCCTAGTACACTTGGCTATGCGTGGGGACAGAATGGCCTAGTACACTTGGCTTTGCGGGGGGACAGAAACAAGAAGTCGTGGAAGAAAAATGTCCAACTTTGGAGAGAGCCATAAACCCACGGAGCCAAGAGGCGCAACAAACCCCGAGGACAGGACAAGGAAAGCCACCGAGCACGTCACCGTCAGGTTGGTCAAAAGCAGTGAGGAAGAAGCCTGACCACAGCAGGGAAAAGGCCCAGGTGTTTACAGAGGAGCCCCCCATCTCCAGCCGGCCCTGTTCTCTCCACCACGGCAACCGCTCTCCTGCCCCAGCTCCCGCCCGCCCCCGCCCCACTCTCCACTGTGATTCTTACCCCAGCCGGCGCGGGTGTCTTCTCTGGCACAACCCAGCATCCAATGTTCGGCAGCAGTCTCGGATTTTAAAAGCCAGGCAGCTGGCTCCCACACGGACAACCACAGTTCCAGTCCTGGGCCCAGTGGTTTGAAAATTACACTGGGCATGTATGCATGCCTGCCCCAGAGCCCGAGAGGGGAATGGAGAAGAGACAATGAAGGCGATGGCCCACTCTCTCTCTCCCGCTCTCCCCCTGTCTCCCTCTCTCCCTTTCTCTCTCCCGCTCTCCCCCTCTCTCCCTACCTCTCTCCCTCTCTCTTCCCGCTCTCCCCCTGTCTCCCTCTCTCCCGCTCTCCCCCTGTCTCCCTCTCTCCCGCTCTCCCCCTGTCTCCCTCTCTCCCGCTCTCCCCCTGTCTCCCTCTCTCCCGCTCTCCCCCTGTCTCCCTCTCTCCCGCTCTCCCCCTGTCTCCCTCTCTCCCGCTCTCCCCCTGTCTCCCTCTCTCCCGCTCTCCCCCTGTCTCCCTCTCTCCCGCTCTCCCCCTGTCTCCCTCTCTCCCTCTGTCTCCCTCTCTCTCTTTTTCTCCTGTGAGCACATATGCCCCATAGCAGACTTTAAAAATTAAAAAATGGGAACCAGCAGATGGCCTGGTGGTTACATCACTGGACTCCCACACGGCCAACCACGGTCTGGGTCCTGAACTCAGCGGCTTGAAACTCACGCCAGGAGCATGTGTGTACATGCCTAAAATCCCAGAAGAGAATGGAGAAGGGACTGTGGCATGGCCGTACCCTCCGGGCGGTGAATTCTCACTTTCTGTGTCTCAGGAGAGGGCATGCATCCTCTAGCAAAAATCTAAAAAGATGCTAGTAACTCAATCAATGTTAAATGAAAACTCTTCCAGGTTTAAGCACTACCCTTTGAGAACGCCTGACTCCAATACATTGTTTACCCAGGAAACTTTTCATCTACATTTCCCCTTTCTGTTTGGACCCGTCCGCTGAAAATGGAGTGCCCTGTGCAGTGTGCGAACGGTGACTGGGGTGTCGCACCTGAACCACGGGGCTTCGAGCTGCAGAGGTCTAGCTCAGGGGCATGGCTGAAGGAGTTGATCCTCTGAGTTTGGTCTCTTGTGAGAGCACTAACAAAAATCTGTTATCAATGGGACCAGCAGTTGGTGTGGCTATGTCGCTGGACTGCAGTTCAAGTCCCGGGCCCAGTGGCTTAAACTCACACCAGGTGCGTGTGCGTGCGTGCCCAAGATGCCGAGAGGAGAATGGAGGAGAAGGGATTGTGGCGTGGCCATCCCTCCTGGGGGGTGATTTCTCACTCTCTGTCTCTCTGTCTGTCTTTCTGGCAAGCGACTGCGCCCTATAGCAAAAATGTCTCAAAAAAAAAAGAAGAAAAATCTGTTACCAGAGTCTCAGTAGGGACGGAGCAGAGGGCTCATCCCCCAGCCCAGTGTCACCCTCCACCCTTTTGGTCTGCAGTATTCATGGTTACGCCAGCTCAGGGCCTCGGTGGGGCTCGGCCGACCCTTCCCGCTTTGATTTCTTTTCAAGGGACTTAGAACTTAGAATTCTAAGACTGATGGCCTTGGGGGCCAGCAAGTGGCATGGTGGTTAAGGCCCTGGATCCCATATGCTGACTGCAGTTCGACTCCCAGGTCAGGCAGCTCGAAAATTACACAAGGTGTATGTGCGAGCATGACCAAAACCCCAAGAGGAAAAGGGATTGTGGCATGGCCATCCCCCCAGGGGTGATTTCTCACTTTCCCTGTCCGTCTCCAGACTGTGCACGTGTTTAATGGCAAATACTAAACAACCAGATCGCTGTCCTTGGGGTGTGAGAGACCTAGCAAGTGGGTGGGGACCTTATAACTCCAGCAGCATTCCAGTACACCCTCAGACTGGGAGTCCTTAATGGGAGCATTCGGGGTGAGCCGCGGCCATCCGTGGCCATCAGTTACACATACGTCTGCCTCTTCTGTTACTCCGGTTAGGTGGTAAATTCTTTGATGGCAAAGCCCAGGTCTTTGCAGCTTAAAAGCAGTTCCCAATCTTAGCCTGGATGGCAGGGGCCACTGGGGGCTGTTCCCTCCTGGCCGCAGGCCACGTGAGAAGGCCGGCCGGTGAGGAATGCTCGCTGTCCCACAGTGGCGGCCCTGCAGACCGAGCTGGAGAGCCTGGCCCTGCACCTCTTCTACATGCAGAACATCGACCAGGACGTGCGTGACGACATCCGTGTGATGAGGCAGGTGGTGAAGAAGGCGGAGGCAGAGAGGGTGCGGGCCGAGACCGAGAAGAAAAAGCAGGTACTTAGACCTCGCGTGGCCCGGGTCCCCCTCCGCTGCTGTTCAGGAAGGCGCCGGGCATGGCCGCGCAGAGAGCGCCACTGGTGCAGAGGGCCAGGCGGTGGAGATCGGCCTGGAGGCGCACCAGGTCCTGGCTGGAACTCCCCCCCGTCCCCAGGACCTATACGTGGACCAGCTCACCACCAGAGCCAACCAGCTGGAAGAGGACATCGCCCTGTTCGAGGCCCAGTACGCGGCCCAGGTGGAGGACACCCGGGGGCTGCGGAAGGTGGTGAGCGAGGTAAGAGCACCCGGGTGGGACGAGGTGGACGCACCCCTTTAGTGCCACTACGCCTGGCACTGTGGTACTTCCCAGACGTGCCACGTGTCTGCCCGGTGAGCCCGAAGCTCCCGAAGGGGAGCACGGGGAATGTCTGGCCATCCCGGTGCTGGGTCCCGGTAGATACTGGTGGGTTGATGGCCAGTGTTTTACTCCAAGACAGCCAGCGGGTGGGTTAGGTCTACTGGGGGCCAGTCAAGCGGCGTGGTGGTTAAGGCAGCTGGGTCACACACGGCTGACTTTGCAGTTCAAGTCCCGACTTGGCCACTTGAAAATCACGCTGGGCACATGTATGCGTGCCCAAACACCCACGAGGAGAATGGGAGAGAAGGGATTGTGGTGTGGACATCCCCCCGGGGGTGACTTCTCTCCCCGCAGCAAGCACATGCACCCAACAGCAAAGAAAAAAGAGTCCTCCAGGGATTCAGGCTTTTCTCCCCTAGTGCCCCGGTGCCGGCTCGCTGGGGGACCCTCGGCAGACTCCGTAGCCGACGGTGGGCTCTGCCCGCGGGGAGGGCAGGTGGAGTTCCAGGGTCACAAGTGCCCACCTCTCGTGCCTGAGTGCCTCTGGCATGTGTTCTGACCGTCTTGGGACAAAAAGATCAATTATGTAAACTAGCTGGTCCTTGAATTCGTCTGGAAAATGAGTGAGGAGGGCTAGCCAAGGGTTATTCTGCGAAGGAAGAGTCGCACAGAGCGGCCACAGCCCCAGGGTCTGGGGTTGAGGGTGTCCCAAGATGTGGGACTCCCCAGGCTAAGCCCGAGCGAGTCCTGGACAGAGCCACCTGGCAGTCACCTGAGCACAGCCCTCCAGATGTCACATCCCGCAGCAGGGCCCGGGGCTCAGTCCTGGAGTGACGGGACCCAGGGTGGAGAGAAGAGCCTCAGAGGCCAATGGGAGCCCCGGAACAGGCAAAGGTCACCCAGCACGTGGAAGCCGGTAAACCACCTGTGAGCAGGGCGGGGGGGTCCCCACAGTGCCAGGACATTGGCTTCACTGTTTGGGGAAAAACGAGATTCAGTCTTTTCCTCATACCAGACATGAAAATAAATTACAGATGGGACCAAGCCCTGACACAGGGAGAGAGCAGAAGTACCGATGTGCCCCGGGCTGCAGAAGCTGTTATGTTGTGATTTGGGTTTTTGAAGAGAGATTTTTGCTATAGGGCACGTGCGCTCGCCAGAGAGACAGAGAGAGATGGAGACAGAAAGCAAGAAATCACCCCCAGGGGGGATGGCCACGCCGCAATCCCTTCTCCTCCATTCTCCTCTCGGGATCTTGGGCACGCATGCACACGTGCCCGGTGTGAGTTTAAGCCACCGGGCCCAGGACTCGAACTGCAGTCAACTACGTGGGAGTCCTGAGACGTAACCATTTCTCCATCTGCTGGTCCCAGGAGAGGCTGTTTTAAGCATGACACCGGAACATTCGCCCTGGAAGTACCAAGAGGGTGGACCACTCGGTAACCACTTCTGTAGATTAGGGAAGCCTGAGCCAAACGGGCTGTGGCGGCCTCAGGGAGACGGGCTGGCACCGGCAGTTGTCGGGGTGTGCAGAGTCACCGGGAGCCAGCGAGAGGTGCCTGTGGGTGCCATGTGCTGGACGCTGCGGTCCCATGTTCTCAGTGTCTGCACCTCAGCTGTCCAAGCTGGCCAGCAGCCCTGGGGGGCATGGCAGGAAGTCTCCCCGCCCCACTGACCGGCCCCCACGGGTGCTCTGTGGGAGGAGCCTGCAGCTGCGGTCCCTGCTCACCGCCCTGGCTGTCACTGTGGGCAGCTCGGGGCCAGCCAGTGGCCTCCGTGGTTAGCGGCTCACTTGGAACAGACCACGTCACAGTCACTCACGTCATTTGTGAGGGACGGGGCCAGCCCACAGCCTACTGGTAGGAGGAGCCGGATAGCACGAGGCCAGTGGTGGTGTGAGCCCTGGCCCCTGTGTGCCCCAAGTCCCGACAGGGCGGGGAACGGAGAAGGGGCCGTGGCGTGGCCACGTTCCACTGGTGTGCTTTCCCCCTTCCCTCTCCGCCTCTCTGGGGTGTGCACAGGCCCTCTGGCAAGTTAGAGATAATAGTAGGGCCAGGTGGTGGTGTGGTGGTTGAGGCGGCTGGCTCCCACATGGCGACTGTGCAGCTCAAGTCCCAGACCCACGGCTAGAAAACATGCGGGCGCACTGTGCCCAAACCCGAGAGGAGAATGGAAGAGGAGGGACTGTGGCGCGGCCATCCCCCCAGGGGCGATTCCTCCTTCTCTCCTCTCACCCTCTCTCTCCAGCGAACGTACATACCCTACAGCAAATTGTAAAATAACAATAATTTTAAAAACTAGATTTGTTTTTTTTCAACCCTGAAATTGGGAGTGAGGTCCGCAGGCGACGCCTCCCTTCCTGCGTGGCCCAGACCTCCCTCACCCTGTGCCATCAGGCGTGTGGTGAGTGCAGGCGCCCCGAGACCACCGGCTCCAGAGTCACCACGGTCCCACCGGGGTGAGCCCGAGGAGCATTCCGAAACCCCTCCACACGGCGCAGCGACGGAGGCTGTGCGGGCGTAGCACTGCAATCCACTGGACCCCACAGCCCCAGGAAGTGCGTCCCGCTGCTCCCATGTCCAGCTGGGAACACGCAGCCCGGTGCGGCAAAGCAAGCTGCCTGCCCAGAGCACAGCGTCATGGGGGCCACTGAGCCCTGACCCCTGCCTTAACCGCCACCCCTGAGCATGGATGACCTACCTGCCCCTCATGTTCAAGACCCTCCTTGACCCCAGCTGCACCCACACCACCTGCCGCAACCACCTTGCCCTCGCTGGTGCACGCCTGCATCCCTGTTCGCAGCTCCGGCAGGGCCCGCCCGCGCTCACATGACACCGGTCACTAAGGCACAGGCCTCCTCCTTGTACAGGCGGCCACACTCACCTTCAGGGCCAGGCCCACGGCAGGTGTCCCACCGGAGCCGCCGCCCCACCACCACCCCCGGCCCCTGTGCTGAGCACCACGGGCCTGAGCCGGGCTCACAGGGTGTTGGCAGTTTCTTTAAAACTTTGCCAAATCCCATGTCTACCTTGGACCGGTCCACGATGAACAGAGGGGGTGCAGGGCGGGGGCAGTCGGGGCCCTGGCGTCCTCTCGGCCTCAGCAGCAGCTGCGGTGACGATGCCGCTGGTGTAACCACGCTCTCGGCCGCAGGCCTGCATGGAGATTGACGCCGTCCACATGGAGAAGCACCGGATCCTGCAGCAGTGGGCCGCCAGCCTGGTGGGCATGAAGCGCCGCGACGAGGCGCTCAGGACCGTGCTGGAGGCGCTCAGGTACCAGGCGGCCGGGTCGAGGGCACAGGGGCAGGCAGCTGTGGGCGTGCCGGGCCAGGAGGTCCTCCCTCCCTCCAGGGCCAGCACCTGCAGCCCGTGGCCTCTCCTGGCATCCTGCAAGCTCCCTGCAGCTCGCCAAGATTCCTGAGTCCCTTAAGTCCTTTCCAGTGCTCTGTGGCACGTGCAGAAGCCAGGCTTTCTGCTCAGGTTTCCTGGGGGGAGTAAGGAGAGGCAGAGGCGGAGAGAAGGGGTGTTATCGGCCGATGAGCGTCTCTGAATCGCGGTCTCACCTCCTGAGCGTCCTGCTTTAATCCCCAAGGAGGAGAGGAGAGGCCCCTCTGGGACCCCTTTCTGTCACTCCTAGCAGAGGCGGCATGTAGACATGGCCGCCTTAATCCTCAAAACCATCCAGGGTGATGGGGTCTTGGGGCGTGCCCACCATGCCCCGGAGGTGCAGAGGTGCATGGGCCCAGCTGACGTCGCTGAAGGAGGCAAGGACGGGACGGCCGCGCCTCGGCATGGATGCGTGCATGCCCAGAATCTTATAGGATGGAGAAATGGAGGAGGAGAGGGTTGAGGCAGGACTGCACCCCTGAGTACCACTGGGGGGCACTCTCTCGCACTGTCTCTGCCAGTGCACCCTCTGCAAGTGAAAAACAGCTGGGGCCAGCAAACGGCAGAGTTAAGGTGCTGGACTCCCACAGGCTGACTATAGTTTGAGCCCCAGATCCGGCGGCATGAAACTCAGGCCAGGCACGTGTGTGTGTACTCAAAACCCCGAGGGGAGGATGGGGAAGGGATTGCGGCATGGCCAACCCCGAGGGGATGATTTCTCACTTTCTCTCTGTCGCTTCAGTGAGTCCAAGGGACCGACAGCAAATCTCTCCCCAGACGGCGTGTGCGTGTGTGTGTGCGTGTGCGTGTCTATTTCTGGACTCTCACGTTTCACTGATCCCGTCTGTTCCTTCACTAGTACGACATCGTGTTGATGACGGCTTTACAGAAAGCCTTGCAGTTAGCACGAGTCTGCGTTCTTTTACCGCTGTTTTAGCTATTCTGGGTCCTTACGGTCTCAAACGCACTTCAGGATTGGCTTGTCGACTTCTAGGGAAATGCCCACTGGGTCGGGAGTGCAACGCGCCGCTCACAGCGGACCGGGGACTGGCGTTGTGCTCCTGGCAGGTCAGTCGGGCTCCTGTCCCTATGTTTTACGGGGTGAATATTTATTGACACTCTGGTAAAATCAGAAAAAGACGACAACTGAAGAGCCTGACCGCGTACCAAGGAGGGCGGTTCGATCCCGGCACGCCGTCCTGAAGGACCTGAGCTGAGAAGAACTGAAAGGAGTTAGAGTTGTTTTGTTTTGTTTTGTTTTGGTTTGGTTTGGGTTTTTTTGAGAGGTTTTCGCTATAGGGCGCGTGCGCTCGCCAGACAGAGAGAGAGAGACAGAAAGCGTGAAATCACCCCCCAGGGGGGATGGTCACGCCGCAGTCCCTTCTCCATTCTCCTCTCCGGATCTTGGGCACGCACGCACACGCGCCAGGTATGAGTTTTAAGCCTCCGGGTCTGGGACATGAACTGCGGTCCACTACGTGGGAGTCCAGCGACATAGCCATTACGCTAACTGCTGGTTCCCTCTCATCCTTTTTTTCATTTTTAATTCACGATAGAGCATGTGCAAATGCACGTGAGAGTGAGAGCGAGGAGGAGCACGCTCCACGGGGTCTGGCGTTTGGTGACCTGGGATCTTCCTTCAGTCAGTCAAATCTTGAGCACATACGCACGTGCCCGGGTATTTCAGGCTCACCCACCTGGGGATGCAAACCATGGTGACCACCTGGGATCCGGCTTCTCTTGAGCAGTGCATGACCGCTGCGCCAGGAAGCCGGCCCGCTTCCACCCGCTTAATACCATCACACAGCAGCCGGGCTCCAGCACAGGGAGCACATCCAAACCACAGTGCACACAGCAGAAATTCAGATCCTGTTCCCAGCGCCTGTATTTGAAAGTTTCGTGTCGATTATGGGCATGCGCACGGCAGCATGCTGAGAGGAGAGTGGTAGGGCTTGTGGGGAGACTCACCTGCTGCCCCTCCAGACACGGCATTTTCCGTGGACTTCGGGCAAGTCACGCAGATGCACCGCGCAGCGCCCAGCCTGCACAGCGGGGCCGGTACTTCCTTCCCGGGGTTATCGTCATGACTGACGGAGACAGGCAGGTGCAGACCCCAGCACGATCTGCCTTAATCATGGTAGGACATAAGCTTTACTCTGGACTCCGGTGGGTATGCTTCCACTAACACACTGAAAAGAACACCAAGATTTGGCAGCTGGTGAGAGTCGGTTTGGTGCTTCTCACCCAGTGAACCTCACCCCAGCAGGCCACGGCGTGCACACGGGCCCTCCGGTGTCTAGCGCGTTCTCATTTCCGCAGAGAATGCCAGCACCAGGCCAAGTCCATGGATGGGGAGATTGAAGCCTATAAGAAGTCCATCATGAAGGAGGAGCAGAAGAACGAGAAGCTGGCCAGCATCCTGAACCGGGCCGAGACAGAAGCCAGCCTGATGCAGAAGCTGACCAGCCAGTGCTTGGCCAAGCAGGAGGCACTGCAGAACGAGTTCAACACCTACAGCCTCGCCCTGCAGAACTCCGAGGACGCCCTGAGCAAGGGCCAGCAGGTGCGCGGCCCTGCCCAGTAAGTCGCACCCCCGCAGCTGCAGCCGGCCCTCGCCAGTGCCGCTGTAAAACCACCCGCTCTGGGCTCTTCCCTCCCAGGAGCTCACGGTAGTGCTGGGAGAGTTGCAGACCGTCCAGCAGGCCATCCGCCAGGAGCTGGAGCAGAGGAAGAAGATGGAGGCCTCCATGATGGAGAAGCTGCAGGAGCACATGACCTCCAACAAGATGACCAAGTACTTCAACCAGCTCATCCTGCGGCTGCAGAAGGAGAAGACCAGCCTGGTAAGTTGGCTGGCCTTCCCAGGGCCAGGCCAGGCCAGAGCTCTCTGGAGCCGGGTCATACCAGCCCTCCCAGAGCCGGACCAGACCAGCACTCCCAGAGTTGGATCAGACTAGCATGGTGGGCCAGCCCTCCCCAGAGCCCAGGTCAGACCAGCGTGGTGGGCCAGCCCTCCCGAGCCCAGGTCAGACCAGCCTGGGAGGCCAGCCCCTCACCCAGACCTTCCAGAAACACTTCTTAAAATTTTAGTACATTGGGAACCAGCAGTTAGTGTAATGGCTACGTCGCTGGACTCCCACGTAGTCGACCACGGTTCCTGTCCCGGACCCGGTGGCTTAAAACTCACGCCAGGCATGTGTGCGTGTGTGCCCAAGATCCTGAGAGGAGCCCAGGGGTCTCGCTGTGCCCTGAGCTGTGACTGGCCCTTCTGTCCTTAGAGAATCAGTCTGTGCGTGAATTGCTTCCTTGTGTCTCTCTGGGGTGTGACCTGCTGTTGTCCCTGGCTCAGGCAGCCCCTCCCCCCGTTTG